TTTTTAATTAATATAATTTTATATACTTCCAGGGCTTTATTATGGTACCAACTATGCAAGATTTCCTAAGTGTACTATGGAAGCCACTTGCTGTAATTGAAATATGTTCACTGAGCTGTTATTTGATTCCTAGTTGGATGGTGGATGTTAAAATTTGAAATTTCTGGCTTGTAGCCTTTCCAAATCTTTTCTTATCTTCTTCTCAAAGATAAAGTTATTATAGGTAGCTAAGTTAGTCAGAAATTAATATAGTCAGAGAGGGTCTGGGCTCTCAAGGAAGTTGGTAAAAAAGTAAAGACATCAGAACTGTGGCTGGAGGTGCATCTGAAGAAGGCCAGGCCTCAAGATAAAGATGCAATGGACAGGCCTATATGCCTCCCTAAGGGATAAACTATAACTTGAGATTATACTGTAATTAGCACCACATGGTCCAGTGAAGTTCAGACAGGTATCAGTAGCCCATCTAGGTGGGTGATGAGAGCATTTGGACATGTCTTTGTTCTTTCCATGTACCCTTATTATGTGACCTGTTTCCCTATTGGACCGATATTAGCTAAGCCACTACACTTGTAATCCTATAGGTTGACTGTAATTTGACCCATGTTGTACCCACACTGTGACTTTGCTGTACAAATTACTCCTGACAAATGGTGTCAGTGGCACTCCATTCAGGGGCCCTCTCGGAAATCCAGGAGTTATTCTCTCTTTCTCAAGAAAATTCTCCTGATTTCTTCCTTTAGTTCGTGACCTCATTCCTTCATGTTATGGGACACAAACTAGGCACAGCTGACATCTAACTAGGCACAGCTGACATCTAACTAGGCACAGCTGACATCTAACTAGGCACATCTAACATCTAACAGGAGTTATATTTCTCCTGTATCAAAATGAAGCAGCTTAACACTTATTAAAAAAAAAAAAAATCTCCTTGAAGGAGACACTCACAATAGGTGCCTTTTCTCATTTATGTCATGTCTGAGCCCATATTAAATTAAGTAACCTCTGTAGCAAGCATTCTCAGTATGGCCTTTGCTCTCCAAGACCTAAGGGCTTGCCCTGGGGAAAGGAATATTCATTTTAGCAAGATTATATGCGGCATTCATACTTGCTGGTCGAAAGTCAATTGAGCAATGTCAAGTCCTAAAATGTGGGGACCACCAAGATATCGTGTATCTGAAAGAAACGTGTGAACCATTTCAACGGCATTTTTCCAAATGCAGACTGGGAGTTGACGCAGATAGGTAGAGTAATGTATATGGGACCTGCTTGAATTCTACACTTGTTCTGCAGTTTAAACAGTTACAGGAACTGCCTGCTCCAAAAGGAGCTGGGATGGGAGATTCAATAGGTACTAGCTTTTCAAACTCATGGGCTGACAAAAGATTTTTTTGAAAGGCCGGGTAGGAGAGGAAGTACAGAGCACCACATACAGGAAGACTGTATTTTTCTTGAGACTTTGTTTCAGTTAACAGAGTTGGCTGATATTCACTGGATATCCACTGACAGGCCTCTAAAAGGTGTCACTTTCAGACTATGGTCCAAGTTCCCTCCTTGGCCCCAACATAATTTCAGCTCCCTCTGGGTCTCTACCAGCAACTGCAGAGTAATGAGTTGCAGGAGCCCCTGTGATACAGCTTGAGGGTCCTGGCAATGTTTGCTCTGAGTAGTCAGTGATCAATGTTGTAAAATATTTAGAAAAAAAGTATAACATTGCTTTCTTCTGTGTGTGTCTCTGTGTGTACAGTGGGTCATGATGCAAAATATATTTACTCCTGTGGGTTGTAATTTAAGAGTTGGAAAGGCATTATTCTGTGGGCAGTAGGAATGTAGGAAGAAAACTTGTAAGGCTGACTTTTTAATACAATGAGGAAGACTTCGTTCAAGGGGAGACTACGGAGACAGGAACAGAGACCACTGCACTGAGGTCTTGCAACGGAGTAAAGGGACCAGACTCCATTCTTAATGGAACCACAAGTAGAGCTCTGTAGCCAAGGAAAATGGTGACCTCAGTGGATAGAAAATTACTAAGAGCAAATATCCAGGGTAAAGGGAGATTCTGGCTGAACTGATTTGACAGATTATTACTAAAGACAGGCCAGAATGATAAGATATCAAGGATGAGGGATGTGGGATTCTGGTCAGATATTAGGATGAGGGATTTTCATCAAACTGACCCAGCAGGATTCTTGGTAAAATTGGACTAGATAAGGAAAGCCACTAGACTCAGGATAGAGCCTAAGGTTAGGACCGGTAAGAAAGAGGACTCAGAGGAAACTGACTCCAGTTTGTCAAAGTGCAGTTTTTGTCTGTAATGATCTCTAAACCACAACTGGTTTTCATCTACAGTAGGGATATAAACTTCTCATATTAAATTGTAAAAAATAAAAGTAATACGGTTTAAAGAAAATTATTAAATCATAGTACAGGTAGTACATAGCTTAAATTAGGAAGGTGGTGTGGGAATGACCGTACTTTAAAAAATATCTCATATATATGGATAACAAAATGATGGCGGTTACTAAGAAAGGATTAATGTGTCACCAGCCCTCAGTCTCATTGTTGGGCCAGTCGTAAACAGCTCAGGCTGTATAATAAAATTCCATAAATTAAGTATTTCATGGACAACAGAATTATTTCTCATGGACAACAGAATTATTAGGAATGCTGGGGACAGGCTGGAAGTTTGAGGTTGTGGTGAGGGCCCTCGTGAGGGTTGCAGACTGCCAACTGTTGGTTACATCTGCACAGGGACGAAAGTAGAGCACAGGGAAGCAAGTTCTCTCTTAATTCTTCCAAGATCACTAATCCCATTCATGAGAGCTCCACATTCCTGACCTCAACTAATCCTAATGATCTCCCAAAGACCCTACATCCTAATAGCATCACAGTGGAGGGAGAGTTATAGTTTCAACATATAAACTAGGGAGGGAGGCACATTCAGTCCATAGTACCCTGCAACTAGAAGCTCTTGGTCTACTATAAAAGTAGGGCTTCTAACTATGTCTTCCAGATATCAGTATTTCCACTTATCAGCAGGACACTTTGTTGATCTACAGTGAATGACCTATGGTCCAAAGACAGTGACATTACCTCTCTGAGACAGGTTCTATAACGAAGAAAATCACAAGGAATGCCTCAATTCACGAGACTGAAAAATGCCTTCCTTAATTCACTATGATCTGTGGGGGGGGGGTAGGATAGACAGTGTATCTGTTAATTTAAGAAGCACTTCCGAGCTTTCCATATTGTACGTGTGTGTGTAGCATTTATTTAATGCTCTCCAGCTCATTTTGTAAGATGGAACAGACAATACTATGTAATTCTTCATTCGAATTGCTTTGTCTCATCCTTACATAGCTTTGTCATCAGCCCATATTACAATCACTTCAACAAGCAGAGGAAATGTCGCATTTGGGACCTCCTCACCCTTGCAACCTGTCAGACCTCAGGCAAAAGACAAAAAAACGCCCAAGGCTCCCTGTGGAGCCCAGATAAAAAGAAAGTAGATGGCTCTAAGCTTGGGTGTGTTAAGGACGGGTCCCTAAAGCCTACATTTACATTAGGGATTCACTACCACCTTTGGTATACTTAATCAGGCACTGGTATACTCCATGACAGCATCCTGACTTCGGGACTCTGGAGGAATGCTGGGGACAGGCCACTCAAGTGCACCGGGTAAGAAAATGCTTTGGAGCAGCTACATGTGAATTCCACCTGCCCAGACGCTTACGCTAATGCTGTAGCAGGGCTGACCCACACGGGGCTGGGCTTTCCTTTGCCTGGAGAATCTGGGCAGAGTGAGAAGTCCGCCAACCACGCGGGCTCTCCGGCGACACCCGAGGCAGCCCTAGAAGACGGGTCATGGCCCTGCACCAGCAGCTGGCCAGAGACAACAAATAAAAATGAAAGGTCCTTCTCAGTGGGAAAACAGGCCTCGCGCTTGAAGCCGGGAGGCCTGCAGAGGAAGGTGAGCGAAGAAAGGCAAAGTGCAAGCACTGCTTCAAGAAGCCGGGTTCATTCAAACCCCGAGGACAGCAAACCCCGCCTCCCCACGCCGCCGCCCGCTCAATCGCCGAGCGCTCCGGGCGTGAGTTCGCCCCGCGGGGAGCGGCTTGGAGCCGAGGAGGCGGTGGCAGAGGTGGTTTGGGCAGCCCCGCGCGGCGGATAGGCCCAGGCAAACAACACCCATTCCCCCTCCCCCTCGCTCCGTTCAACTCCCACTCGGCCCCGGCCACGCCCTGCCGCCACCGCCCCCTCGGGCAGCAGCTTTCCGCTCCGCAGCTCGGCCTCGGTCGGGGGCGGGAGGGAGGCGGAGCCTCGGAGGGCCCCCACCCGCGGCCTCAAGGAACTACGAGGCCCGACAGGCTTCGCGGCAGAGGCCCGCCCCCCTTCTCCCACCACTCAGCGCGCGTCAGCGCGGGCTCAGCCAATGGGGGCCGAGCCAGGGAAAAAGGGCGCCCGGGTCCGGATGCGCCTCAGGAAAGCCATGCTCGCTGCGCGGGGGCAGTGGGCAGCTCGGTCTGCGCAGCGAGCCTTCCGGCGTCCGCGCGCCTCTGCGTCTATCCCTCTCGCTTTCCTTCAGTGATAACTCTACTTTTCCCTTCAGTGGCCACTCGGAGGGCTGCTGGAGAGGGGTTCTGAGTGGAGGGCGCTGGGAAATGAGTAGGGGGCGGGATATCCTGAGACAACAAGTTTGGCTGTATGGAGGGCCTACCGGCAGCGCGCTGAGCCCGGACGCGGAGAGAAAGAGCGCGAGAGCAGCCGAAGGAGGAAAAGGAGAGCGGCTGAAAGAATAACCCCGGGAAAGGGGGTGGAGAGAAGGCGGCCCCGGCGCCCCGGCCCCCGGCAGGTCGGCGGCCAATCCGCTGGGGGAAGGGGTGGAGAGTCGGCGGCTGCGGCGGAGAGAGGCCGAGGGGGGTGGGGAGTCGGCCCGGCTCGCGCCGCCCTGGCCCCGCCCCCGGCCCGCGCCGCCGCCCGCGCCGCGCGCCGCCGCTGTCAATCAAGGGCGAGTCAGCCGGGCTCGGGCGGAGAGAGGAGCTGCTACGCCACAGCCCAGCGGCGGCCATTCGCGGAAAAAGAGGCAGAGCCTGTGCCAGCTACAGCCTCCTCCGAGCCACCGCGGGCGGGCGGGACCGGCCTCTCCTCCCGCCTCGCCCCCACCCCCACCCATCTCTATCCCAGTGTCTCCGTCTGAGGGTTTGTCCTGTTAATGCGGGATGAGCGGTACGTATTCTCCACCCCCCTCGGTCTCCTTCACCGCCTCCCTCCTCCCTCCCTCCCCAGACCCTGCTCCGTTCTCCCCCTCCCCCGGGGCCGCTGAGATGCTTTAAGGGGAGGAGGGAGGGAGGGAGGGAATCAGGGGGAGGGAAGGAGGGTTGTGTTTTGTCTTAATGTCTGAGCGAGAACAACCTCCTTCTGGGTGTTGCTCTGGAGCCGATGGGTCGGGTTTCAAACCACGTTTTGTGATATCCCCCTCCTCCCTTCCCTCCTTCTCCCCCACCCCCTGCCGGTGTGCACGGATCGCGGGTTTATGGAGATTAATGTTCGGGGGGAGGGGGGAAAAGAGGCGAGGGGGAAGATGAATAATAATAATCCAGTAACCTGTTGTGTGTGTATATGTGTGGGGGGGCTGTTGCAGATCAGAAGAAGGAGGAGGAGGAGGAGGCGGCGGCAGCAGCAGCGATGGCTACAGAAGGAGGGAAAACCTCTGAGCCAGAGAATAACAATAAAAAAACCAAAACCTCAGGCTCCCAGGTAAAAATAAACATTAACAAATTCATCATGAAACATTAGGGGGCAGAGGGAGTTATGTCCTTTAAATGCCCAGAAGTAAAGAGCAGGAAAAAAAAATGTTTCTCCACTCAAAGCATCTTTCTGAGAGTGAGGAAGTTAAATTGTAAATTCATGAAGATTTTACATATTTGAGGGTATAACATTACTATTACACAATAAACTCAGATTGTAAGAAAACTGTATTTTCCCAAGGGCATTTTGAATAGAGACAAACACAAAGTTGGTTAGAATTTTCTTTTATTTAAACTTTATATTACAATATCTGATTTCTTATTCATGTAGTTCTTACCTTCTTTTGTTCATATTTCTTTTTTATTTCTCCCACTTCCTGAGTAAGTTCTGATATGTAGAACTGTCAAAATAAATAACCCCCTCCCAACTACTGGCCTGCACTAAATCCACCCACTTTTTCCTCCCCTTTCCTTTACCATCTCATTTTGGGTAGGACTCTCAGCCCTCTCCTCTGGCTTTACTGGCAGCTACTTGCAGCAAAATAGGGACTCCTGGTGAAAATCAAGCAACTGGACAACAACAGATTATTATAGATCCAAGCCAAGGATTGGTGCAACTTCAGAATCAGCCACAACAGCTAGAACTGGTAACAACACAACTTGCTGGAAACGCTTGGCAACTTGTTGCCTCCACTCCTCCTGCTTCAAAAGAAAATAACGTTTCTCAACCAGCTTCTAGTTCATCTAGTTCTTCCAGCAGTAATAACGGGAGTGCATCTCCTACAAAAACTAAATCAGGTAATTCTTCCACCCCTGGTCAATTTCAAGTAATACAAGTACAAAATCCAAGTGGTAGTGTGCAGTACCAAGTGATTCCACAACTTCAGACAGTAGAAGGTCAGCAAATTCAAATCAATCCAACTAGTAGTTCATCTCTACAGGATTTGCAGGGTCAAATTCAGCTCATTTCTGCAGGTAATAATCAAGCTATACTCACAGCTGCTAACAGGACAGCTTCTGGGAATATTCTTGCTCAAAATCTGGCAAATCAGACAGTTCCAGTCCAAATTAGACCTGGTGTTTCTATACCACTTCAATTGCAGACTCTTCCTGGTACTCAGGCTCAAGTTGTAACAACCCTGCCAATTAACATTGGAGGAGTGACTTTAGCTTTGCCTGTGATAAACAGCGTGACTGCTGGAGGAGGGACTGGACAAGTTGGCCAACCTGCTACTACTACTGACAGTGGGACTTCCAATGGGAATCAGTTAGCTTCCACACCCACGACCACCACTGCTTCTACCAGTACTATGCCGGAATCTCCCTCCTCCTCCACTACCTGCACAACCACCGCATCAACATCTCTCACAAGCAGTGACACATTAGTCAGCTCAGCAGATACGGGCCAGTATGCAAGCACATCAGCCAGTAGTTCCGAACGCACCATTGAAGAATCTCAAACACCTGCTGCTACAGAGTCTGAAGCCCAAAGCTCCAGTCAACTTCAGTCTAATGGAATACAGAATGCACAGGATCAGTCTAATTCTCTTCAGCAAGTGCAGATTGTAGGCCAGCCTATTTTACAACAGATCCAGATCCAACAGCCTCAGCAACAGATCATTCAGGCCATTCCACCACAGTCCTTTCAACTCCAGTCAGGGCAGACTATTCAGACCATCCAGCAGCAGCCTTTGCAGAATGTTCAACTTCAAGCAGTAAATCCGACTCAGGTGCTTATCAGGGCTCCAACTTTAACACCTTCAGGGCAAATCAGCTGGCAAACTGTACAGGTTCAGAATATTCAGAGTCTTTCAAATTTGCAAGTTCAGAATGCTGGGTTATCTCAACAATTAACCATCACCCCAGTGTCTTCAAGTGGTGGCACGACTCTTGCTCAGATTGCTCCTGTGGCTGTTGCTGGGGCCCCAATAACTTTGAATACTGCCCAGCTTGCATCAGTGCCTAACCTTCAGACAGTGAGCGTTGCCAACCTGGGTGCTGCAGGCGTTCAAGTACAGGGAGTTCCAGTTACAATCACTAGTGTTGCAGGTAAGTTACAACATCTTTTTAAGTGCTCTCTATAAACAGTTTTTAGGAACGATCAATTACTGTTTTTCTTTGCTAGATCCTAGATTTGATACAAACCTCTGAAGTAAACAGATAATCAGAAGGGATCAGCACCAAACAGGAATATTATACCGAGAATCATAACTTACAATCAGTGTGACCTGTTCACTTTGGTTGGTTTTAGTATTAAATTTTATGTGTTAAATTTGTCAGTTTTTAAAATTTTCCCATAGAACAAAATTTTGTGATTAGAATCATAATTGCTGTAATTTAATAATCATTATTTGAGTATACTTGAATTTAAGAAAGAACACTAATTGAAGTGATTATAGTTTCTTGGAAAAGTTTGTATTGGCATGTAATTGTCTAGAAGTTTTAATTCTACTATGTAATAGGCTTTTTTTTTTTAAATTAGAAGTTATTCTGAAGTTTTAGCATCCTGTTGCCTGTGCTTTTGTGGTTTATCATACTGTGTTTTTTAAACTGGATGTTTTGGGCTAAGAGATGGTATTTTAAGTTGCCACTTGTTTCACAGACTTTATGTGTACTTTTTGTTACAAGCAGTATTTGCCCAGGATTGTGAATTAATAGTCTTTCACTTAAAAAGTTTTACTTAAGTCTTATGGTCATTATATTATTTGTAAATGTTCAGTGTGAGGTTGGTTGAAAGCAATTAAAAATGTAGACAGTAGAATGCCTCCAATTTGAGCTAATTGTGGTATGGTTATTTTTAAGCCAATTATAAAAGCAGTTGTTATTTGTTATGCATATAAATAGATACTTGTAACACACTTGGAAAACAAGTGCTACTAAGTAGTTTAATGTTTTGAGAACTAGTTTTATTGTACCTAGCACTTTTTGTTTTCTGGTGATTACTTTCATCGATTCTGATTTGATGAAAACCTAGTTGTGGTTTTTAGTGCCTTTGATGCTTTCAGATGTTGTTGATTAAATATTTCTGTTTTGGTAATCTCAGATAAGTCAGTATATTACTTTTGAATGATCTTTCTTGAAACAAGCTGAAAAAATACAGTAGTGTTTGTTAATGTCTAATAATTAATGTCTAAGGTAGGTGTATACATGTAAAATTGAAGTTGCCATATTGAGTCTACTGATACAGGAGAACCTGTATTGCATTTTTAAACTAAATACCTAACTGCCTGTAGATCAGTGCTGTCCACTAGAACTTTTTGTGATGTTGGAGATCTTTTTCTGTTCTATTCACTATGTTAGCCACTAGCTACATGGATGTGGCTTTTGAGCAGTTAAAATGTGGTTAGTGCAGCTAAGGAACTAAATTTTAAATTTTATTTTACTTCAAGTAGCTCCATGTGTTAAGTGGCTCTCATGTTGGCAGCACAGTAATCTATTCAGAATTTTGAGTGTGATGCTTTTTCCTCTAAACTACAGCACAGCTATATAAGTGATTCTTTAGCTTATAATCCTTAACTTGCTTTGTGACTAGTCTTTTTCTAAACATTAACAATAACGGGAGTATTTCAGAAAAGTATTTGATAGGTTGAGTAATAGTTTCCATTGTCAGAGCAGACGTTATTTAACATTTTAAGCATTATTAAGTATTCTTATAAGCATTAGTAAATTGTGGTTAAAATAATTGAATAATTTATAATTTAAGTTATAAATAGTCAATTCTTCAGATCTCTAATATCAGTTACAATCCAGAGGTTTCTTTTTACCTATTGCGAGGGTAAACCAAAATTGTGGACTGTGCAACTCCTAGTCACTTGAAGGATGCATAATAAACACAGGATTGAACTTTTAGGCTGTAGTTTCTAGGATACAAGGTCAAAGAATTTGCCTTTCAAATTTTCCAGGTGATTCTAAAACTCCATAAGTTTGAGAATCAAGGGTCTAATCAACAACAAACTAGAGACAATGTGGCAGCAGGTGGGTGCTGAACTAGTACTTAGATGTCTCAGAGATTGTATTTTACTGGCAAATACAACTTTTTAGTTTTTATTTCACAAGTGTATATTGAGGTGGTTATTGTATATTGAACATTTCAAATGTATGTGGTTAATTCCTTTATTTTTATGGGTATTTTTTTTTTTTTACTTAAAAAGTTTACATAGATTAGGAGCTCCACTTAAATATATGAGGAAAATTGAACTTAACAAACTTGGAATTGTTTTCAATTCTGAAACTCAAATGTTTTAAATTCTGTTGATGTTGTAAAGTTAATGTTCTAGTAGATCATCTCAATAATTTTTTAAAAAAATATTTCAGAGACCAGAAACATTTATATAAGCCAATATAATTTTAAGCCTTGTTAATAGGCATTTGACAAGCGCTTTTTGAAATAAGATACAGAAGGTGATGGAAAAAATAGCAGTTTGGAATTGATAGTAATTTTGTGAAATGGTTATGATGAAATGAAATTGCTGTTTTTATTAATTTCTTTAAGCTTTGTGTTAAGATATTAAGGGTGAATACAAAGTTTTTTACTCTCTCAAGAAGAGGGAGAACAATTGCCTATGTATCTCTTTTTGTAAATGAATACTGGAAGTTCAGATCTATTCCTTTGTGTCCCTATTTACTTCAAATACTTCCCTCATTATTTCATGTTTTCCTTCCAGGACAATAATACTGTTTAATTTATGGGAAAATAAATTTCTTAATATTTACAGCTTTTTAAAATACAGTTGTATTTTTAATTGACAGTGACATATATGGGATAAGTGTGAATTTCAATATATACATACATTGTGTAATGATCAGTCAGTGTTATTGGCATATCTGTAGGCTCAGACAGTCATCATTTCTTTGTGTTGGGAATATTCAAAATCTTTCCTGCTAGCTATTTTGAAATAATTGTTGTCAACCGTGGTTATTCTGCTGTGGTGTAGATTTAATTTATACTGTAGAACATTAGAAGTTACTCGTATGAACTGACTGTTCCCCTGTACCCATTAACATCCTCTCCACTTCTCCCTGCTCTTCCTAGACTGTGGTAACTATTCTAGTCTGAATTCTTTTGAGGTAAGTTTTTAGATTCCACATGTGAGAACACGCTCCTGACAAATAATTACCAAGTCTTGAAAAAAATTACTAGCTTTGATAGAATGTAATGGCTAGCTGAAGGAAAGGGTTAAAACTTCTCCACCATCCATCTTCAGTTTACTCTTCAGTAGTTAAAGGAGGTCTGGATGATATTGACAGAAAAAGAAAAAAAAAATTATACAAAGCAAATTAAAACCAATTCTTGAAGCTTGGGAGCTATATACCTATATGAAATAAGGACCTCTCTTTTCTTACAATATATTCTTCATAATCTGTTTCTGTGCTTTGGAATCATGAAAATCTTGATTTTTAGACAAATGTCTAGCATGTAATTAGTTGGAATTGTAGTAGGAACTAAACACATATACCTCTGTACTTTTTGTTCATTTATTGGGATTTTGAATTTGAGTTTAAATGAAGTTTGTAAAGAAGGAAGTTAAGCACAGAGGTAACAATTAATTGTACTTCTGGCTTAAGAACTTCCTTTATTTTAAGTAATGTAAAGTTTTGGTCAGAAAGGACTATGCAGGCTGGAGATGTGACTCAGGTAGAGTCCCTGCCTAATATATGAGAGACCCTGTGCTGCAGCCAGTGTGTCTCTCAAACTTCCCGGGGTGAGGACTGTGAACGGTGTCAAGAAGGTGAGGAAACGAAGACAAGATACAGAAGGCTGGGATTGGGTGGAGCTCTCTTTCCTGTTGACAAAAGGAACTGCTCAACCACTGCAGCACATTTATCTGTTCACATGCCAGTTTGATGTCAGGTGAACCCACTTTTCCTAACTAGTTCACCTCTCATGCCCTGTGTTCTCAGGACTGGAATACCTGTTCACCTCAGGCACTCAGTGCCTTTGGGGCATTCGTTGGGCACTCCATGCTCTCAGGCGTTTCTCTGGTGATCTGTGCTCTCAGCTCTGAACATTTGAAAGATCTTCAGCTCAGCTGCTCCCGACATCATCATCTTTTCTGTTGTGTAGTTGTAGTTGATGGGTTGCAATTGGAGGAGCTGTGTTTGGAGGACTCTGCAGATGATTTTCTAGTGGTTATACTTTTCTGCTGGATGTGCAAGACCAAGTTAACGTGAGACCTGTATTAAATAAAATTAACTTTCTGTTGTCTATCAAGGTTAGTTAGTCTCAGGATTTACCTTGGTACCATGCATAGCACCTCTCAGTTGTTCTGTCGATGTTAGCCATCTGGATGAGTTGTGACCACTGCCTGACCAAGTTGCTTTCTGTGAAAGCTTGGGAGGCTTCTTTCCTAGTGACTCTCCTAAGTTATGCTATGTACTGTTGATTTCCTTTCTGTGTGGTCCCACAGTCTCCTTGGTCAGGAGTTTGCATAACTCACCAGAGTAATGGACTGTCACTGAAAAATTCCACTTATATCCTAGGTCTTCATTGACCTTGGAGGGCCAAGACCAAAATACTGGCTGTCCTCTTAGCCCATCTATTTTTCTAATTTTTGGTCTCCAAGCTTCAGTTGTTGAACATCCAGAAGAGAAGGTTAGTGTCATTACATTGTAATGGGAGCAGTGAGCTTAACATAATAATTTTATCTGAATATCAGGCAGTTTAAGATACAAAGTAAACCATTATTTTTGCCTAATCATGGGCATTGTAGGAGTTGGATCACTATAGAATGTTAACAGATAACAGTTACATAATTTTACACAGAAAACTTGAAATTAAAAGCCATACATAATATTGTAGCATGGCAATCGTGATATTTTATGACACATTTAAATTTACATTTTGATATAGTTGTAACCTTTTTAATCGGTCATCTCTATCTAATACATAAGAAACTTGTACCTAATTTGTTGTCCTTTAATGGGGTGTCATTGAAGTATGTGACATTGTCTGGACTGCTTAATATCTAGGCATCTCTAAGTACAACAGTACATATTTCATGTAAGTTTTTGTCATTATTACTGACTGGTGATCTCATTGGCTTCGCATG